ATTGAATTTTATTAAAAAAAGAGAGTCACATATTTATTGTACTTTTTTCATAAATAGATGTCCGATTAACGTACGTTCTTAAATCAAATGTCCGCAACCTTACAGTTAAAATAAATAAAAAAATATGCGCATTTGAATTATTTTGATCATACCGAAAGTAATCATGTCACCATCTTGCTTCCTTAATAAAAAGGATATGGGTGAGGTGCGAATATGATGCCCATGTTGCATTTACACTCACACTCTGTTATTGATGATGACATATTGTCTTGTATAGTGAATAAGAATATAGATAAAATTTTACTACTAGTATATTCACGAGATATCATTATTTGAATATGAGATGCTCAAAAAAATTGTGAAACACTCGAAGAAAAAAATTAAAAGTAATTAACTTTTTGAATTCTTTTGTTTTTCTTTTTAATTTTTACAAGAAATAGACGTTTGATGGTTGAGTATCGAACAGAATTAATCGAAAATAAATTTAATTTAATTTAAATCAATCTGCCAAGATGTGTTCATCAAAAACTGCTTTATCTGACTTGATCTTGCAATACTACTAAATCTGTTTATATTTTGGGAAAAGTAATCCCATCGCATGAGTGTTAAGAATGAAAACTGACATTTTGCGCATCAAATAAACTATTGTTTTGAGCGAACGAAATAAGTCGATTAAACTAAACCAGACATGTGCATACTTGTTTGTCTTCACATAAAAGTACATTCTTTTTCATGCATTAAAGTATGTACTTTTTCAGTTGAAAAAATATTCAATTTTCAGTATTTGTCTGACTGATAAGGGAATATTTTCAGGTGTCAAATAATTATATGCTCTTATTACCTCAGTAAAAAATTAGGCACATGTTTCAATATACAGATTTGTTTTAGAAGAATGTTCATAAAACTTTAGTGCATTTTCTCTTTAAGAATGATATAATTCGTTCGATCCATGTATCCTTCTATGTTGATGATTTCTATATTTTGCTGATATCAATCTTTCTTGTAATCGTGTATTTTTGCACCTTTTCCATCTGAAAATAGATTCTTTTTGATCTAAATCAAGTTTGTGTACTATGCCAGCACAATAAACTTCTTAATTATTCTTATTCATATGAAAACTGATGTAGCTTCCAAATCAATCGTTTTTTAGAATATGTAGCAGTAGTATTCAAGCTATTAACCCTTCCAAAAAATGGTCGGCAACTCAGCTTTAACCATTATGAGTGAAGAAAAATATCTATGTAGCGAGGGTGTGAGTGTTGTCTTAATGTTATATTGACATTTCACTCAGTCACGCCCATACCTACATTATCCATATGTATGTTTATCAAACGTAGCAGTAACTTAATGACTATTGTTTGTTAATTTCAATAATTCATCCGAATCAAGTTTTAAAGAAAATATAAATAATAGATATGATTCAGAGATAGTTTTATTTGGATTTATATCGATTATAGATTGATTAGATCTACCAGAAGGTGAAAAAGAGTTTGATTATTCACATATATCAACATAACTTTAATTAACGTCATATTTTTCACTACATGACATACTTATCAACAATAAATATAATATTTTCTTTTTATAGATATTTACTATTATTTATTAAAAATGTACTTTTATATGTGTTGACGCTCACTTTATTTGTTAGTACTATTAAAAGAGACGAGAAAAGGTTGAAGATAAAAGTGCATTTTTTTCGGTGTTTTTTCTTCCTGTTTTTATCGAATAGTTTATGTTAGAATGAGAGATCAACAGAACGAACACGATGATTGAATCAATACGATTGTCTTTATTTGAATTTTTCAAATGAAAATATTATTGTAGAACATTTTTCTTTATTCATATTTAAATTAGATGAATTATTTACTTTATAAAATTGGAATTATTTCTGATGATTAAATTTTTTTCATTTAAAACAAATTTTTATTCAAATATAACTCTCAATCAAATAAATTCATATAATCAATAATATATTTATTAAATAATAGATTAATATTAGAGTTACAATCAATGAATATATTCTCAAAGTTGTTCATAATCAGAAGTATAGATAGACTTTTTCTTCATTAAACTTCAAACAATCAGAGAAATCTATTAATGATAATGTGCTTATGTTATAACTAAGACAATCTTTTGATGATATTGAAGATAACCGATAAATTTTTCGTTAAGACGAGTTTGCAACATACCCTTTATGAAACTCTATTAAACATTTTATTGAATGATCGTAAAGTACTATGATAGGTATTGTTCATCTATGATATCTTGAGGGTATGAGTGTGGGTGTAGTTGAAGATTATCCTCACCCACATGCGCACCTAACACCCATCTGAGTTACTATATCCAGGAGTGTAGAAAGCATAAGAAAGCCATTGATATGTTGAATGAGTCAATTGAATACAGGTAGTCCAATCCAAAGTTGTTAAGTCAGTTACTGATTGGCAAAGCTGTTACACTGATATTATAAAACATTCAAGATACTCCATATGTATCTTGATAAAAAGAATTATCATGAGATCCTACATTTAAACGTGTTGGATTGTAATTTCCAGTAACAGCAAAATAACGAAGTTGCATTTTTGTTTTAGTAAAAGATGAAGAAAAAACAGCAATAATTTGATTGTTATAAGATGTTGATGAGAAATAAGTCGTATTAGGTGAAGCATGCCATTCATCGTAATGATCTAGAAATCCCACCTGCCAAAATTCAGTTCTAATATCTCTATCATAGGCTCGACGTAAATAAGTGTAATCACCATGAAATGTAGAATGATTTCAAACAAAATACAAACCATTCAGAATATAAACTAAAATACCAAATAAAATTCTTTCAATAATATATTTTTGATAAAAAATCCTTACGTAAGTCTATTATAAAGAAAATCAGGTACAGATAAACTTAAAGTTTGTCCAGGAAAATCAACATAGACTCGAACAATACCATGATAATTTCTACTGGTAACATTCCTTAAAACAGTAACGAGCGAAGAGAAATCGATTGAATTTGTATCAGTCATTAAATTTTTCAATGGATTCCAAACAGTTGAACTAGGATCATAAGTGTACGTCCTACTAGAAGACACCCTACCAAATGCACTTCTTATGAAAACAATTAGAAATGATGAATAGATCACATTTATTTGGAAAATGTCTTTAAATGTTCCAATATGTAACAAAAATTTTAGTCTAAGTTTAAGAATAATCTTAGATAAATATTGAGCGAAGTACTATGTGACAACAGAAAATAGAGTATATCGGAAAGGCAACTATTTAAGCCTTAAATAATTTTAAATAGCTGTGGGTGTGGGTGTGAATGAAAATATTCATATAGATACAAAAGAAAGATCCTGAGAAAAAATCTTAGCAAGAACGTGAACCAATCCTGAATGAAACTTGCCAAAATCCTTGAGACTCAGGATCTTGAAAGATCTTTTCAAGATTTCTTAAGGATTGAACAGGATTGAGACTAGAGCTTGTAAGTATCGTAGATGAAGTCTAGTACATACTACTCGATGATAGTATTTTATGTATTGACATTCATATTTGTTTACGTTTTTGTACTCTGATGCAATACTCTATTGACAGTATGGATGGCACTTCATCTTTATTTTGCTTTGAAAAAGTACCATCCCTAGTTGCTAGTCTTCACTAAATGTTGTTAAACAAAAGATAAACACCAAAATACTTTTTTATAAAATGTCATTTGTTTATTTCTCTCTCTTGCACGCATCGTGTTAAAGTCATGGTTTCTTACATAAACAATATGAAATAAACATCGTTCGATATTTTCGGATGCTTATATTAACAATGAATAGAAGTGAACACTGATAGATTAGAGGAATTTTTGATTTATCTGAGTGTGCGGGTGAGAGGTGTAATTCCACATCCACCTCTATTTTTGAATCCCCATCTAACTGGATATAAACATATGACTTTCACATGATTCTGTGCTTTGATTAATTCTGAAGTCATAAATAGATATTGTGTTCTTCACACAATGTAATAAATAAACAGCTGACATACTTTTTTTTTCTTTCTGCTTCATAACAATCTTTGAGAGGCGTTATTTAGAGAAAGACAGAACCGTGAAAGAAAAAAAGATGAGTAAATGTTATTTTTTTTTATTTGTTCTGTTTTTCTCAATAAAAAGCAAGCCATCATTGATATAGAATGCTCTTAGCAAGCAAAAAAGTACATTCCATTTATGACGAGTTATATATTTTTATTTTTTTTCTTTCCTCTTCTTGTTATTTTTGTTAGAAAGATGATACAAGCTATACAGCTGACGAATTTTACAATTATGGAACAATCGCGGTGCGATAATTATTGTGTTGATAAAAAATTCATAAAATACGATTACTTGGACCTTCGCTTTTCTAGAGTCCTTTTCTCAATGCAGAAGCTTATTATTGACGACGAAATCAGAGGAGAGCTATAACAATTATTCTAATGAAACGACTAACTATCGAACGACAAGAGTTTGGGTGTCTTCTCTAGACTATCTTAATCTCACTCATGTCCACACTGAAATTCACCCGACTAATCTTGTTTTATAGTTTCTCAATCGACAATAATTATCACACAGCAATTATTCCATAACTGTGTCATTCACCAGCAGTATATGTTTCATGATCTTGTCAATAAACATAAAAAGAAAAGAAAAGAAAAGAAAAATTAAAATATGTAACTTATCATAACTAGAATGTACTTTTTTGATTGTCAAGAGCATTGTATATAAACGACGGCTCGCTTTTTACTGAAAAAAGCTAACATTTACTCATCTGTTTTTCCTTTACAGTTCTGCCTTCCATGAAATAACGCCTCTTCAAAATTGCTATGAAGAAGAAAGAAAAAAAAGGATGCCGTCTGTTTGTTTATTACGTTGTGAAGGTGGCAATACAACAATTCTCAGTTTCTTGAACAATCAACTCAACATCTGTGTATGGCTTCAGAATTAATCAACACACAGAATCACGTGAAGAGCGTATGTATATATCCAACCAGATAGAGATTCAGAAAAAGCTGTACCTTAGCGAAAATCTTTGATGTTTCCTTTCCATATTCCCTGTAGATCCGTAAAGGATTCGTTGTTTTTCCTGAGTAAATGATGAAATCCTGAAGATCTTACCAGAATTCGAATGCTTTCAAAGAAAAATTGTGGTTATATAGTCAAGAATACTAGTAAGTTTCATCTAGAGTATTATCATAATTCTCAATGAGATCTTACCATGATTTATGAAAGTTTCTTCCGTGATGGTATTAGACTACTTCGTATGATCTTGGAAATATTACCTAAACAGAACAGAAAAGAAGTATACATATTCTGAAAAAACGCTCGATGAAAAGTTGTTGTCGCGCTCTAGGTATGCACCAGGGCCAATGCACGACTGGAGACTGGACACTATCCAGTTCAACTGACGATCCATATGATGTAACTCATTATAAGATAAATAGGGGCACCATTCATAGGTCATTATAACGTATATAAGGTGGGTGGATATCTTCTCTTTATTCAAACGCACACCCACCCTCAAGATGGTTGAAAGTACTATTTTTTTCATTCTAGGTCGTCGCGAAACTCCAACTTCCACTTTTCAACGGGGCTGTGTAAGTTGTTCGAATGGTATTGAGATACTGCTTGAATACGCTACAGTATGATGTATGCTTAAAGTCTGTTATTATCACTTTCGATCTTTTCAAGATATACCTTCGGGACATAAAATTTATGAAATATTTTTTATATGCTTTAGTGAAAGCTCGGCCGACTTCGGATTTTTTCAGTTCGATAATCCTGATGAGAATAATACAAACAATCTTTTATCACAGGTAAACTGCTTGAATTTTTTGTTATTGTTTATGGAGTCAGGTCATCATATAAAACATCATCGAAGTGTTCCTCAGCTTTTACCATATTCTAATCGCATGCCTATATTATATCTATTGAGTTCATTCATCTCGATGGCCGAGCAACAAAAGAGGTAGTGGCAAAATTTATCATCGATGCCTACCAGCTTCCAGTTCCTGACCTAATCCTATCAATTCAGACAGACAGCATCAATGTTCAGAATCAAGAAACTAAGAGCATTATTCGTCGTGGTATAGCTGCTACGGCAAGAATAACAAGTGAATAAATAGAGAAAAACTGATACGTCTTATATACTTTTCTTCGAACATTTAGATGCATGGGTTATCACAAGAGGTGTCAATCAAGATATGATTAAACTAGTTGGAACAACGCTGCAAACTGATGCTGTTGAGACTGATGTGCCTTGCATCGGTTTCTGTAATTGGAAACGTATATCAGGTAACAAGTGTATGATATTGTTCTTGAAATATATAATGTATCGTTTTAGCTTCCAGTCACGGAAAAGTAAGTGCTCGAGTGAAATGCATGTTTATGCGAATTTAACTACGTTTTCTTTTGTTAGCCGAATAATAACCAACGTCCTATACAACACGATCAAATGAATATAACTTCCATCGATGATTGCGAATTGGAATCGAACCATACTCATTTTGTTCTTTTCGATCATGAGATAGACAATGTAGAAAGTATCCAATTGAAACGTGGCGAGATCGAACGTCAACTGAGCAAGACATTGCTAGAGAATAAAACTATCAATGATGATAATCATTCAAAGAGTGGTATGTATGATGAAAGCGAAGAGAAGATTTGTGATCATTATTAACAAGTAATATATTTTCTAGTATTTCGTAATACTGTTCCGATTGTTACACTCTTACTTGGTGGTAACTTTACAACACTAAATGTTATATGTGAAGGATTAAAGAATGAAACACCAGTCGTTGCTGTTCTAGTATGTATTTTTATATTTGAAGATATCTATCATATAAAACTATATATGTTGTTTGACCTGACGATTATGTCTCATTGAATAACTTATTTCTTTTAGGGTACAGGTCATCTTGCAGATATCGTGGCTATCCTCTGTTTGGATCTGCGTACATATGACGAGCTCATCCAAATACAACTTAATGATCATTCAAATTTAAAGGATAAATTAGAAGAAAGAAAGAAGAAAGATGTCCAAGAGTGCAAAAATCGATTGCAACGATTATGGCTTTTAGAAGGAGAGAATACAGATCAAATCTATGGCAAAATTGACGAATATGTAAAGATACTAATCGATATGAATACACTGATTGCTGTATACGATGGAGTTAAATGTATTGATAATCTAGAAGATGT